CACCAGATCCCTTCAAAACCAGCCCACATTTTTCACAGGACTTCTAAAGGGAGGAATCCGAAAGGGAGGGTCACATCTGGAATCCTGCCCAGTATTTACAACTAACAGTCTTTTGACTAGCTCTCCTCCATTCATGCGGCTTTCTATCTCAACGGTTTCCCAGGACCTAAGAGCACGTCTTACTGTCTTTTGTAAGAAGCTTGAATAGCCCATATGAAAACCTCTTTTCTTCCTTGTTTTAGTTGGAGCAAATCATTTGAACTAGTCCAACCATTCTGGAAAAACAATTTGAAAATAGTTGGGAAAAGTCACTAACCTGTTCATACCCTCCAACCCTGGACTCCTACAACTGGGCATATGCCCCCAACAAGGTCAAAAGCAGAAAAGAAAGTCCTGTAGATACCAAAATATTCATAGTCACACTCTTGTGGGAGCAAAGAACTGGAAATCAAAGAGGTGCCCATTCCTTGGGACATGGCTGTGGTAGATGAACGTGAAGGAAGATCACGATGCTGTAAGGATCAACAAACACAAGGAATTAAGAGAAACGTGGGAAGACTTGCAGAAACTGATGCAGATGAACCAAGGGATGATATCTACAACTAGAATACTGAAAAATGGAGGGAGGCTAAGATGCTGCTGGATTCAGATGCACTTCAGTGGTTAATTGTTCTCAGAAAAAGGTGAAAGAAACATCCCTCCCTGGTCTAAGAGAAAGGTGGGAGTCTGCATGTATGAAAAGCCATGGTCACTTTGTCAGTTGGGTTTTGCTCAAATTTTTCTGTTACAAGTCAGGATTTTTTAAAAACTGCATTTAGATAAAATGATTTTGTGAGGTACAATACCCCACAGAAGGAAGCCAGTACACATGCTTCTTCTAATGATGAATCAGTGAAACATCTTCCTTCCTTTTCTTTCTCTATGAGCAACTGAAATCTATGCCTAAAAATACTACTTAGTCCTGATTTAGAACCGACTGTCACAGGGACTGGCAGAGTGTGACACCGGCATCACCTCATTAATCCCACACCACACCCCAGGGAGATGGGAGCGTTCGGAGAAATCCCAAGAGAATCTATCTGAATGTCAGGCTGGTGTACTCACTACTTGTCCGAAACCTCTAAGCTATGACAGGGTAGAAATGCAGATGATGTAAGATCATAACAGCAGCTGGGATTTTTATGGCCCTCTAAGGTTTGCAAGACTGTTAAGGTATGTTATCTTACCCAAGCCTTGCAACACCCCTGTGAGATCAGAACTACAAGTATTATTAACCCCGCTGTACAGAAGAGAAAACGGAGGCTCAGAGGGGCTAATTAAGTAAGTAACTTCGCCATGGTTACACAGCCAGTAAATGTCAGAAGCAGGATTTGAAACCAGATCTACTGGTCTCTGAATCCAGTGCTTTCTACACTATGTCAGTATGGCCTATAGGGAAGATACTGATGGCATATCTAACACACAGGATGAACAGTAATTCTTCCACATCTAGAAAGTTATGCAAAATGCACATGTACTAGATTTTTTTTGAATGCTGATATTTCAGAGTTCCTGAATGAGTAACTAGTTCCTTATGCCTTCAGTTCCTCATTCTCCACACCCTATTTAACCCTCTCTGTATATACTTACTATAGGCTAGTTGCTTTTCCCATTTTGGCCATCTTGAGTTCCACCTTCACTTCTTCATGCAGTAATCAATCCAAGAACAAGTATTTATCAAGCACCTACTCTGTGACAGGCACTTAGCTAAGCCTTGGGGATAAAAAGCAAGCAAACACAGTCTCTGCCCTTAAAGCACTTGCATTCTAATGGAGCTAACTAATCTGGACCTCTTATGTTAAAGCAGTGGCTCCACTGAACTTGATGGTGAAAAGTTTCTTGTAAACATCTTTGCAGATCTTTTCCAATTTTATTCTCTTTGTTGTCTTCCTTCTAATGTCATCCCTTAATGCCCTTGGGTTAGCCTCTCAGCTGAGTCTTTCCTAGCTCTGTCCTCTGGGACCAAGCAGAATAATTCTAATCTTTCTCCCAGGTGGCAGGTCTTTAAGAGGGTGAAGGCAGCTCAGCTGGCATCTGAAATCTGAATCTTCTCCAATTAGTTCAACTGATCTTCACAAGGCACGAGTTCCGAATTGTGACTTTTGTTCTAACAAGTTAGTGGTGAGGCTGTGCACAGAGAGCTAATTTAGGAATGAATCTCACATCAGTCACTTGTGATCCTCTAAAATAAGACCAACTCCATTCTTTGCTGCCTGCTACCCTCACAACACCTGGTTCTTTTCTTGAAGAAAGTATGTATGATGTAATGGCATGAGCCTTCTGTATAATCTACATGGCTTCAATTTCTGTCACTTCTTATTATATTTTTGATATATTTATATCTATTTCATATTAAATAAAATTAATTATATATTTGTAATTAATTTATAACAATTATATTAAAATTAAACACATTTAAAATATGGTTAATAACACCTACTATATTTTAATATGTTACGTATCTGAATTCTATTTTTCACCATCCTTCCCTGTGCTCACCTTTTCAGTGTAGTCACTGATTTCATTTAACCTGGAAATTCTTACTCAGTTCTTGAATTAATTTTTCTACCTTATAATCTGCAGAGTCAGCATACTGTTCAGTTATTTCACTCGTGTCCCACTCCACAAGCCCATTTGGAGTTTCTTGGCAAAGATACTGGAGTGGTTTGCCATTTCCTTCTCCAGCTCATTTTACAGATGAAGAAACTGAGGTAAACAAAGCAAAATGACTGCCAGGCCCCACGCTCTATGCACTATGGCGCCACCTAGCTGCAGAGTCGGCTACAATAATGTTCATGGTGAAACCACACAGGGAGGGCTCTTTGGGAATCCACCCTATCATTTCCCACCTGGCTGCTTTCCTGGACTTCATAATCATTTCAGCAGATGAAATTCACTCTGGACCTCTCGCCTCCTTAGACCAGCTCCCTCCCTGGGGGGCAGGGACCAGCTTGTGTCTTTCTCTGTGTCCCCAACACTTAGCACAGCTCCTGGCACACAGTAGGTGCTTAATAGGTTTTGACTCTCAACTTTGGTGGTCATCTTTGCAAATGCTTATCACACATCATCCAATATCAGATGAATGGAAGAATGAATGGAAAACCACTATTAAATGCTCACTAAGTGCCAAGGAGCGTGCTAATACAAAAGTGGGAGTCCGAATACAAGCTGTGAAGGGACTTCCATTTAGAGGGGGAGGCCACACAAAGAGGGAAGCTGCCAGAACAGGGGACACAGTCAGTGGCCTGATGTGGGCAGTCCACGCGGCCCAGTTCTGGACCAGATAAGGAGAAAGGGGTGGAGTCTGCTGGAGGAAGATGCAGGCATTGTAGGCAGCCCAGTTTGGGAAGTCCCTGGAGGAATTTGGCGGCCTGGTTCAGGCAAAACAAAGCAAAACTTCACCTATCAGAGCCTGTGTTCAAGCAGGGAAAGGACAAGAGGAGAGGGGAGACGGCCGGCTTGTCCTTAACATTCTTTTCTAAGGCACCAAAATAAAAGAAAGATAATCTGGGGATCATATTTAAAGGACCCTGACAACTAGAGAGTGCCTAAAGGAGGGCAACCAGGTCGAGGAACTGAGGATGCTTAGCCCAGAAAAAACAGAGACTCAGGCCTTGTCATAAGGAGAAAGGATGAGCCCTGCGTCAGAACTATGAGCAAAGAGGTAAAATTGGGCTTGATGCCAGGAAAACCCATCAGTGCCACCCTCAAGGCTCATGTGCCCCTCTGGTAGGTGGGGGGCTCCCCCACTCACTGGGGCCTTCAAGGAGAGGCCGGAGGAACCTTGGTTGGGAAAGTCATCGTTGTCGGCCTCTTTGAGATGCTGTGCTTACAACAGTGTGCCCTGGGGCAGCCAAGCACACCATCACATTTCAGGCCTATAACCACCCTGTCTGGAAGCAACCCAGAGTTTTATTATCCCTGTTATACACAGAGAAGGAAACAGAGGACCCAAAAGGTCAAATGTTTGCCGGGGGACAAACAAGTGGTCGGTGCTGAAGGCAGGATTTGAACCCAGCTCGTTCTGACACCACGTCCTTCTAGTAGGCTATGAGAGACAGAGAGATTTTGGGGTTCCACAGGCTGCTGATTCAGGACATGAAACTAGGCAGTGACAGATGATGTCGATCTGAACAGAAAAGGGGGCCGGTCAAGCTGAGTCAGCTCTGGAGACCCCCAGCAGGGTCCCTTGGGGAAATACACACCCAGACAAATGGCAGCAGGACATTCTGTGATAGTCATCGAATCATGAGAAGCTACTCTGAAAACCTCGCTCACTCGGTCGGCTGGGAATCGGCCTTTCGAGCTGTCTAGAGAGCCAAGGTCTCTGCTGGTGACTTCAGCCCAGTGTTCTGGGATGGGTCAGGCCTGGGGGCGGGCAAAGGAGGGAGTCCTATTTCATGGTGCTATCCCATTTCAGAGCTGAATCAGAGGTCTTGGGAAGACACGAATGACCTGATTTTTCTTTCTTGTTTTCTGCCTCTGCGGCATTCTCAGATCGGCATGTGCCCATTCTCACGTGACCTTGGAGATAAGAAGTCTGGGTCTGTCCACCGATGACCTTGAACGACCTCAGTCAAACTTCACACTGCAAAACCCCTGGTAGGGGTTGGGGAGGGGAGAGGAAAGGGGCGGCTGAACAGGCTGCAACACATGGGGATGCTAAAGCCGGCTCGGACCAGCTTGTGAGAGCCAGTTGTTAAATTTTCAGTGAGAGCTTTCATACCTCAGAAATTGACAATTGCTACAAATCAGGGCCTGGCTTAATGTTTTGTCGATTGTTTAAACTTAATAAAGTGGAAGAGAAAATGTTAAACACACAAACTTAAAAGTGCTATACATATATTCCCACCCAAAAAAGAACTGGTTGTTAAATATTTTTCCAGCACACCAGTCACTGGACGAAGGCCTAAAAACCAAAAAGAATAGCATCAGTGAGGAGCCCAGACAAATCAACTTACTCTGTCCCGCTTTCCACCATCTGGGTGAGGAGAGAGATGCCATCCAGATTGATGAACTCCTGGGCAAATGTGATGTCTCGGGAGTAGCTGGCTAAATCTTTCAGGGCCTCCAACTTGGCGTCCATGCTTGAAGACTGGATCCTCTCGTGAAGCTGCTGGGCATTTTGAGCCTCCCCAGGAACAAAAAAGGCACACAAAAGAAATCCTCAAAAAGGGAGAGGCAGAGATGCCACACAGGGGGTGGGAGGGGACTCCTGACTTCAGTCCACACACTCCCCCCCTCCCCCCGGGGTTCCAGTAATGGGAATAGATGGTGTCTTTTGGCAGGGACCAGAGGAAAAGGGAGGGGGGAGGGGCAACTAGGAGCCCAGCCCCCCAAGCCCCCAACTTACCTGGGGTGGGCTAGGTCCCAAAAGAACAATAATTTCCCTGACACTACAGAGCCCCAATGTGCAGGCTTAATGAGCTTCGCAGCTGCCCCAAGGTTTCCAGCATGCCCACCCTTCTCCACACAGGCCATCCATCCAGGAGGAAGCTTCTGTGGCCTCCTCACTAACAGTTTTCTCTCCCAGAGAGCCTTCTGATGAAATACTCGTGTCTCTGGGCCTTTCCTTCACAAGCTCCTCAGAGAACAGGTCCAGCAGAGCTGGAATCTTGCCCTTAAAATGTTTCCACTCAGGTCCTGGGTCCACCACAGGAAGGTGGAGGGGGATTTGCATCTGTAACAGCAGCCCCATTCCTGCTGGTACTTAATTCACTTTCATTTTCCATAAACCCTCTGCCTCCACTCTACCACTGCCCCAACCTGAGGGCATTCAGTATCATGGAGTAGGGGGGTAGGAGAAAAAGAAAAAACCCTGAGAGTCAGGCTGGGGAAAAAAGGAAAGGGAAGTGTATTTTTCCTGTAAACTTACCTAACACAAAGTCTCAGAGGGGTAACTGTCTGGCTTTGGAGTCAGAGGCTCTACCTACTCCCTGTATGATAAGTCCCTACACCTTTCTGGGCCTCACTTTCCTCATCTGTAAAAGGAAGGGCTTAGCCTTGCCTTCCAGCTCAGAGTCCATGAGCCAATGGACAGCTGCTGAAGTTATTATCCAGCTCCAAACCCCAGCAGCTAACAATAGCCAACACTCTTTAGCAGACACTGCTTTTCTCATTGTGACGCATATAAGGTTTCAAAGGATGCCAAGGCCTTCAAAGAAGACCTGCGCTTGTAATTCAGGGTAGGCTTGCCATATTAAGTGGTGAGTGATCACCCTGGTCAGACGTGGCTGGGAAGGACCTGAGCCCTCCCTGACTGATAGAAAAAGAAGATGTGCTAAGGTGGGGCTGAGGCGTGAGATCAGCATACCAGGTCCAGGAAGAGTCCTGGGAGCAGCAGGCCTGAGCCTGATTCAAATCCCAGGCCTGCTCTTCACCAACTGTAAGACTAGAGGCAAATCAGTGAGCAGATTTCGGGTGCCTCGGGGGATTAGAGCTGGGTGAATCCTTCAAGCACATCTGTTCAGTTCGACTGCCTCATTTTAAAGAGGGGAAAGCTGAGGCCCAGAAAGGTTAAGGCAATACAAAGAGAAAATGCCAACACTAGGTTTGAACCCAGGGCTTAGGCAAACACGCACACACACACACACACACACACACACACACACACACGAGCCCCTTAGGCAACAACCTAACAAAATAAGACAAGCTGAGCCCACTTGCATGAGTGGAAGCAGTTTCCACAACAAGGAAATCAGTTTTGGAAGAAAACAGAATGACCACAGACCTGGAGTTCCAAGGGACTTTAGGGGCCCTCAAGGTCACACCCTCCCCTTATTTTATAGGTGAAACTGAAGCACAGAGGGGATAGCCACCTTATCCAGGGTCACACAGCCAGGAAATCTCTGAGGTGGGATTTGAACCCGGGTTTTTGTGACTCCAAGCCCAGGGCCCTATCCACTGTACTGGGCTGCCTCTCAAAGTACATGGACACAAGTACCACTAACTAGAGAAGCAATCTCTAGGTCAAGTAAAGGCCAACAGTCATTTTGAGGGGATGGAGTCAGGCTATGGTGCCATACAGGCGGTGGCAGTTCCTAGAGGGATGGGCCATTCTGGAACATCCTCCTCTGGAGGGGTCTCCAAATGCCCCCCCCCCCCGCTATTTCCCACCTCCTCTCTACCACAGAGGATGATGTCACCCCCGTGGCAGAGTTACTGACCAAGGCCGAAAGGACACAGGCTCCAGACCTAGGAGGGCAACCCGAGGCCCTGCCTCCCGTGGCCCATGTGGCCAGAATCTAGACTCCCATCAGGGCCAGGAACTTTGTAGGCCTTGGGAATGACTGGAGTTAACCACTATACTTCCATCTGTAAAATGGGGTTTTTATATGTGTGTGTGTGTGTGTGTGTGTGTGTGTGTACACACACACACACACACACACACACATAAAACCACTGAACTCAGAACAGGAGAGGAAGAGAAGGAAAACGGAGAATTACACACACACACACACACACATACATAAAACCACTGAACTCAGAACAGGAGAGGAAGAGAAGGAAAACGGAGAATTCATTTCGAATTTCCACCACCAACTTCCTCTGCTCTTGTAGGGCAATGAGTTCTCTGTCTGAGGTGGAAGAGGAGGGTGAAGCTAGCCCACAGAGAACTTTGGAAGGAGAGACATCTTATGAAGTCTGGCTCAACGTGACCTCCAAAGTTTCCCACTGGCAGCCTGACCATCATGGCCCCTTCTGAAGGTGGGGGGGAGGGGGGGAGAGACGAACAGTGAGAGACGAGCCAGGAACAAGACACCAAGCTTCAGATCAACTCACTGGGGATGTCGCCAACCGCAGAATGGCTCCATTCTTTATTTCATTGCGATTCTGGGAAAAAAAGACAAAAGAAAAAGAAGGCATTGGTCACGTGTCACCTGGAGCACCTGGCTCAGTAAGCACGTGGTCTGGTCTGTCTGGTTACTCTAGGTAACTTCCAATTCTGGCTTCAATGAATGTTTTTCGACCAACCTCCATCAAACAACCGAATAACCAGCATTTCTGGGCCAGGCGCTGTGCTAAAGCCTGGAGATACAAAGACTGAATGAAGAAATTCCTGCCCTCCGGGAGATGACATTCTACTGGTAAGTAATAGCGAGTATTTTTACAGCAATTAATTCAATCAACATTATTTAGTGCCTACCGTGTGCCAGGCACAGTGCTAAGGGCCCTGTTTGTTTGGCAAGACTGTGCAATCCAGGCAGGCAGGGACTGTCTTCTGTCCTTGTAACCATGGCGCTCAGCACAGTTCCTGGCACCCAGTAGGAGCATAATAAATGCTTATTGACTGACTGACTAGAATTGCGATGCTCTGCTCCTGGAGTCACTGTGCTAATATGTCTGGATTATCGTGACTGAATCTCAGACTCTTCATTAGGAGGGCCCTCGGGCGTCAACCAGAGCATTCCTGCACCCACAGGAGCCCTTCTAAAGTCACCCAGGAAATGGTCCTCCCTTGGGCAAGAGGCGGCCCATGACCCCTCTGGACAGCTTTCCCTTTCCTCCAGGGCCAAGGAGAGCAAGCCTGGCCTTTCCCCCATGTGACAGCCCATGACAAAGTCGTCCCTTCCCCAGGCTCCCTGCGACCAACAACTCATAGCTGCAGGGTGCGTCCCCTAGAGAGCCAGGAAACCCTCTGAGCTGGCAAACACGTGAGCTCTGCCAAGAAGAGAGAACCACGTCCACGGATGACCAGAGTTTAATTTGTAAATGCATTAGCAAGATGTGCCAGAGGACAACGGTCAAGTCCAAGTGACAGCTCCATCAGACTGAGACAGAGGGGAGCCGCTGAATGAGAGGGACCACGCAAAATGACTGAAGCTCTCTCAGGTCATCCAGGACATGTGGAGGAGGGGGCACATGGGACAACTACCGGCCAGGACTGTCATCCTCCAGAGACCATCGAGGGGTCATCGGCGGCTCCTAACAGGTCTCCTTCCACCTGTCTATAAAATCCTGGGGAGAAGGCTCTTCAGGGGAGCAAGGGGACATTGGGAGAAACGAACAGGACCGGCCCCTCTGTCCACATCGCCCTGACAGACGGAGACACACGCTTGCCGCTTGCTAATTTACAAAAGGCAGAAATTGACTCTGGGAGAGAATCCAGCCTGAGATCCCACAGCGTCCTGCGTGGGATGAGACCATGAGGCTCTTTAGCAGAGGCTTCGAGACAGCTTTGTTCTACAATACTCTGAGTTTTAGGATAGAGGGGAGCAAAAATCAGAGACTCACACACGCTTGACAGTGATGTTTGCCCTTGTCTGTGCATTATCCAGAACTGAAATGGAAGAGGGAATCCTTATGGATGGAGATGACGTCCGGAGAGCCATCCACATGGAAGACGGCAGCATCAAATCCCAGGAAGCCATGGGACTCCCAAATGAGAAGAGAGGGGCCTCACAAGTCACTCACGGCAAACAAAGAGGATGAAAAAGGCCACCAGTGAGGAAGTGGTTTATTGAGCTGGGCTGTCTGTGGATAAAGTAGATAGGCACAGGACGGGGACAGTGAGGTGGGCAGAGAGTTCACAAGGGAGACCAAGGCAGAAAGGTCACAGTGCCATCACTGAATGACATGCAGCTGCTCTCTGACAAAAAGCTTTATTAAAAATAGCACAAATATCCTGACAGATTGGTCTGACTTAGCAACTATGCCCCTTAAATTCATTCAATGCATAAAATACCACAGAGAAAGAACATGTTTTCTGTAAATAAAATGACAGGTTTTCCGTCACTATTTAGAAGGGAATAAGGTGGCCGGGTGGTGAGAGCCCTGGACTGGGAGTCAGCTGTACCTCAGACACTTACTCCTTCTGTGACCTAAATTGTTTGGCCTCGGTTTCCTCTCCTATAAAATAGGGGCGATCACACCTAATCTGCAGGCCTATTGCAAGCATCAAATGAGATAAGATTTGTTGAGCCCTTTGCGGATCTGCCAGTCCATACGGGCTGCTACTGGTATTTCCCAAAGTCCCCCTGACTGAGCCTCCCCTGGAGGAGCCCACAGAATGGGGGCAGGGAACAGAGAAAGGGTCAAAGGCATACACACAAGATAAGGAGCTAGAAGACCCCTAGAAATCGTCGTGCCCACGCGCTCCTCCCTATCAGGACCTCCTGCCCATTCATCCTCATTCACTGGGGCTGGGGTGCACGCCAGGCCTCTGGCCCTGTCTCCTGCCCAGCTCCAGGCCTGGATCTTCGTCCTCCTCTGAGCATCACGCGTTCTGAAGTTGGCAGACCCCAGGGCGTGGACCCCTCCCTTCTTGTGGGGCACTTCCAGAGAAGCTGTGCTCATGAACACCAGGATGAGTTTCAGCAGGGCCCGAGGGCAGTGAGGGGGATGGAAGGCCCAGAGAAGTGGGGGTTTTGACTCCTGTATCAGACTGCATTTCTCCCTACCACGGGTCCATCTTCTTCCTTCACTGCCCCTTGCTCTAACCAGTGGAGACGTCTGGGATTCTGCTAGCCATCCTCCCCCGCTTCACGGTATCTGCAGGAGTGATGAGCTCACCGGCTGGACCTTCATCCAACTCACTGGCAAAGAATAATGAGCAGAGCTGGGCCAAGGACTCACAAATACCCGTGGCCCTCCACGTTAAGAAGGAATCTGCTAGAATCCTAGAAAGCAATGCTGGCATTTTACAGATGGGTAAACTGAGGGAGGTCTCCTTGGCTAAGCTCACACAACATCACAGGCCCAGAGCTGGGAGGGATTCTCAGGAGTACACCTCTTCCACTGGCAGAAAAGAATGGTGAGGCTCAGACTTGTCCCACGTCACATTTGATTTGAACTCATGTCTTCCTGACTCCTGCTCCCACCTTTCATTCAATCCACTATTGGACTGTTCATAGATTAGTGCAGAACAGCCCTTAGACACTGCTAAGTCCAATGAGTGAGATGAGTGAGCTGCGGCCCCGAATTCCTTGAGGTCACAGCAGTAGCAAGAGTCAGAAAGGAGATTCGAACTCAGGTCCTCTGATTCTCATGCCCAAAGGATGGCTGGGACCCCAGGATACCATTTATGGCCCATTCTGATGCTGCCTCCGAGGATGACTGAGCAGCGCCCGCCAGCCTGGGCTGGCTGCCCAGCCCATGACGTTGCATGGTTGAGGTTGGGCATAATTAGGCATCTGCGGCATCGGCGTGCTGGCTGCAGTGCCGACGCTGCCCAGGTCTCAGGGGCTCTGTAGGGGTGCCTCTGCTGCCCAGGAGCCCCGGGGCCAAGGAGGAGTCCCAAGCATCGCTCTTTAGATGAATTAAATCAGCTTCACGCTGCCATTCTCTCTGGCTAAGGCAAGCCAAGAACATGATTGCAAAATGTCCTGGGACAAAGTGACCATGAGATGTTTGGCTCCCTCCCCTGTCCTGAGCCTGCCTCCGCGGACTCTGACCTCACCTCCCAGCTGGGAAGGAAGGCCCTCGGACTCTGGCCACTCCACCGCTCCAGCCCGCCCCCCAGGAAGCTTGACCCCTTGCACAATCCAACAGACTGGGGCCTAAGGGTGGAGGGGCCCAGACCCTCCAGGATCCAGCGCCCCAACCAGTTGTAGTGTCCTAGTGCCAGATGCAGAAGGAAATTTGAAGGTCAAAGATCCAACCCCCTCACTTTACAAGTGAGGAAACTGAGGCACTTCAATTTTAAGTGACTTGCTCAGGCTCACTCACCTGGTTAATCTCTGAGGCAAGATTTGAACCCAGGTCTCTGGCTCTCTACTGCCCCATGTAGCCACGTCCTCACAAAAGTACATCAACACAAGCGAAGCTCTTGAGATGATTTTCAAAAGCTCTGTGTGTCCCCCTCCCCCGCCCCTGCCCTGGCCAACCAGGGCATGCCCCCTCCCAGCCCAGGACAGTTGACATCACCAATGAGGAAAGGGTTCCCCTGGTCCTAAACCACCTCGTTCAAGAGCCCATCCACACTGGGCAGGATGATTTTTTCAGGAAACAGACACAGCCCCAAGCAGGGACCCCAGGTTGGGGGATTCCGTTAAAGAAGCAGGACCCAGGCGGCCCTGGCCCTGCTTCAGTGAACACTGAGAGTCTGCCCCCCTCCCCACCACGATCCCTGCAGGCATCGGAGAAAACAGAGAGGGGGGTGTCCAGAAGAAGCACATTTCTTCTCCAGACTCCCCCTCCAAAACCCGCAACTCTTCCCATGGCAGACAACCCAGTGAGAAAGAGTCACCTCTGCATCCCGGACACACTCCTCTGCCTCTGTGGAGATGCTGGACTGAGCGTCAGGAAGACCTGGGCTGGGGACCTTAGAGGTCATCACGTCCAGCGCTTTCATTTTACAGTCAGGGAAACTGAGGACGTCCACACTGGCAAAGTGACTGGCCCAAGGTCACACAGGCGGCAGGGTTCAAACCCAGGTCTTCTGACCTCAGCATTCTTGCTCCTAAACCACTCTGCTTCTTACTATACCCTCCCCCACCCCAACCCCCACCCCACCAAGCCTCAGTGTCCCTATCTGTAAAATGGAGATGAAAGACCTCCCTCCCAAAGCTGTTGTCAGGCTCAAATGAAACAAAGCACATAACATAATTAGGAAGGTCAGTTATTCATTCTCATCACTTTCCCAGTCCCAGCAACCCAGGCCAACCCAGGAAACCTCATCCACCACCCACGATGAAGCAAGCCTAATGCTAGTCCTTTAAAATGGGTGGGGTGTGGTAGTGGAGAAAATAGATACCATATATAATGAAAGCACATTCCTTCCATCAATGAGCATTTATTAAGCACCTAATGTATGCATCACACTATACTGGAAATACTGTCAAGCCATGGGAAACAAAGGTAAAAGGTGATGAGAGAACCCATGAAAACCCCTG